TTTAACCTAAGCTGGTAAAAATAAGCTTAGGGAGTCTTTCATGCAGGTCCCCACATCTGTGCCCTAGAGTTCAGAGTGGGAAAGGAACCTTGACAAGAGCATATATGAGCCGAATGGGCACTGCCACCTAAAAATCTCCAATTGAAGGTGAATGCCATTAGGAAGAAAAGGAGGAGACAAAGGGGGCTGGCAGTTCCTAAAAGATGTAATACTAGAGCAGGGGGAGGCAACTTATGGCATGCTGATTTTCAGTGGCACTCACACTATCTGGGTCCTGGCCACCGGTCCGGGGGGCTTTGCATTTTAGTTTAATTTTAAATGAAGCTTCTTAAACATTTTAAAAACCTTATTTACTTTACATACAATAGTTCAGTTATATATTAAAGACTTCTAGAAAGACCTTTAAAATCGTTAAAATGTACTACTGGCATGCGAAACCTTAAATTAGAGTGAATAAATGAAGACTTGGCACACCACTTCTGAAAGGTTGCCGACCCCTGTGCTAGAGGCTCAACAAACTATTCCAATGCAAAAGATGGATAAGAGCCACAGGAAGCCAATGTGGCTGCACAAAGAGCTTTTTAGCTACCTAAAACCCAAAAGGGACACATACAGGAAATGGAAGGAGGGGCATGTCACCAAGGAAGTGAACATGGAAATACCACGAGCACGTAGGGACAAAATCAGGAAAGCCAAAGCAAAGAATAAGTTACAGCTGGCAAGGAATGTTAGCAAAACCACGAGGGGGTTCTTCAAATACGTCAGACAAAAGAAAGATCAGGGATGGTGTTGGTCCACTGCTCAGTGGGGAAGATGAGCTGTTAACGGAAGATAATAGGAAGGCAAAGCTGCCCAATGCCTACTTTGCTTCAGTTGTCTCTCAAAAAAACATGACTGGATGACTAGCAAAGTTATCATAGAAAATAAAGGGGAAGGAATGCACATCAGGATAAGTAAACACATCAGATCTTCGACAAATCTGAATGAATTCAGGTGAGCAGGGCTGAAGAATTAAAGATGGAGAAAAGTTGTTCTCTTGCCACAGAAGGCAGGACAAGAGGCAATGGGTTCAAACTACAGAATAGCATATTTAGATTAAATCTTAGGAAAAACTACTTAACTGTAAGAATGATCTGGAAAAAGGGGCAAACAGTGAGGTAGCAAAATCTGCATAGGATACAAAACTATTCAAGATAGTTAAATCCGAAGGAGTAACAAGGGGATCTCACAAAACTGGGTGACTGGGCAACAAAATGGCGGATGAAATTGAGGATAGGTTCATCAATGGCTATTAGCCAAGGTGGGCAGGATGATGTCCCTAGCCTCTGTTTGCCAGAAGCTGGGAATGGGTGACAGGGGATGGATCACTTGATGATAACCTGTTCTGTTCATTCCCTCTGAAGTACCTGGCATTGGCCACGGTCGGAAGACAGGATACTGGGCTAGATGGACCTTTGGTCTGATCCAGTATGGCCGTTCTTGTGAGCACCCATAAGGACACTACTTGAAGGTCTTGTACAGAGTGAAACTATCTGGTGAGCAGGTCTTTACTGGTATCTTGCGCTTTAGACAAGAACTCTAAAACATTCCCTCTGCACAAACCATCATAATGATTCTGGAATGTTGGTATCAGCAAATCTTGCCAAGGCTGTATAGATCTGTTACGATGCCCTGAATCTTCATTTTTCTCTTTAGCTTTCAACTTTACTTATGGCATAACAGCACCTGCTAATGCCATTATAGTATTGTTGTGCTGTTTTTTTTATCATAAAATACAAACTCCTCAGATCTGCTCCAGCCCCTTTGTATTGCCCTGGCAGTAAAAGGGGGCTGTAAAGTCAGTTTAAACAGCGAAATGAGGATTGCCCCAGACTGGAGAAATCTCAGGTGGCAGAAAAAGCTCTAACATCATGATCCCACTCGGCCGTTGGCATAGTGGGCATGTCCAGGAAGAGAACGTGGTTGGAGCATCTCTGTACTCAGGCAGCCCTTGGCTGCTACAATGGCTGCCAAAGGGCCACTCTCAAAGGGCCATTCTATCTAGGCATAACTTAGAGCAGCCCAGCTCAGAGTCCAGGGAATTCAAAAAGTGGCAAAACGCCACTTCTCTTCCCCCATGCCCACACGTGGGTCTTGCACCAAACCTTGGTATTGCAGCATTTGTTTTTCCAGGAACAATGTTAAAAATGTATTACTGGGAGTATTTAACAACTCCCAAGCAAGGGCCCAAAGCAGCTAAGAAGAACAAACTGGGCATGGGACCTCCACGGGAGCTACTTGGAACTTGTTCAGCACTGTCAGGAGAAGGGTGGCGTTTGGCTGATCACTTAACAGAGGCCTAAGATCCAGGCAGGGAATTTAGCCTGAGTGTGAACTCTATGGCTAGAGGGACAACATGTAAGACTGATTAACCCAGAGGCAGAGAGTTTCTTGTGGAGCAGCTGACTGAAGCTTTTGTTTTGTTTTCATGTTGTCCTTTTCTGTTAAAAACATGATACCCACTGATGAGGATGCTTTTTAATATTAGAAAGGTCTTCTTCGACTTGTTTGTTTCACAGGTGATGGAAAACTAAGGCAGGGGCTCACCTGCAGCACCACACCTGACCACATGGGTGCACTAGGGTGACCTCTACAAGAACTGTTCCTAACTAGTATGTTATGGCAACTGCTATTTAACCTAAACAAACTATTGCTTCCACCAATAATAAATTATATCTGCTAACTCTTTTGGCAATATTGTATTAATGCTACCCGATAGTTCTGGTGCTATGTGCAATACTACATTGCTTCAGAAATGTAACTCTTGCTTAAAAAAACAATGAAAGAGCTGGCCTATCGAGGAAAATTTTCAGATAGCCTAAATGCAGGGCAAAATATTCAAAGTTAATGTGTAGAAACCACCCAAAGTCTATCAGAAAACCCAAAGGACAGAAAAGTCTCATCCCAACTGGCCACCAACATTTAGACAAAAACCCGGAATTTAGGTCCTATTTCAAAATGCAATTTTAATTATGGAGTTGCTACCAGGTGCCTTTGTAACAATCTTATACCCATCTGTTGCATTTATTATTGTCTAGTGTGAAGTATTTGTACACACATATACCATTATGTGTGTACAAATACTTCACACTAGACAATAATAAATGACAAGAGCCTCAGTGGCTTGCCCCTAGCAAATTACACTGGTCCCTACCATGTTACACTAATGTAGGGGGGAAGATTAACTATTACCTTATTCTGTAGTTATGGGTGTTTTGTCTGAGTAGGGATTGCAGAGTCAGGTCCTCTATCTTTAATGATTTTGTCATTTTCCCCATGATTGAAGATATATGCCAGTTTATAATCCAGTGTAGCTACTATTGTTTATACTCTTTAAAGAAAGTAACTAGGTGCTGCAGAGTGCTGCTAAAGAAATCTGACCACCACACTGGGTCACATCACCACCTGAAGTAAATTAGGTCAGCTCCACTGAATCCAAGAGCTGTGGGTGCTCTGCACTTGTCAGTAGGCACCCAGAACCCAGCAGTGTTGCTGCTGTTAAAAGTGAACATCAACAAGCAACCTTTGGTCTTTATCCCGATGCTGTACAGGAGTAAATGGCACCTTAACTATTTAATTCATTAGGTTCCTTAGAACTCTTCACTGAACGTATGAGAAATCCTGGTGACATTACTTCTCCCTACTAAGCATTTTAGGAATAATATCAACATATGTTTTCACCACAGGCAGTAATAGCTCTATCAATATTCAGATATTGAAACAAAAAAAATCTGTAAACTATGTTTCAAAGAGAACTACATTAGTATTTAAAATATAGCTGTAACATTTGGCATATTTAAAGTTCTTTTCTATGCATTTTCTTCTGTATTAATTTTTACTATACAAAAGTCTAAGGATTAAATAAACTAATCTCCTTCCAGGGAAGGCTCAAGCACATATCCCAAGATCTCTCTAGAGCAATTATATGCAAAATGAAAACAAATGTTCAGTGGACTCAATGAGCAAAGCACTACACAAGCCGAAAACAAAAATCTAGCCCCTTAATAGCAATTCCTGTCAGAGGTCCTACAGGGAAGTGCCATCTTGAAGAAAGATTTTTTTTTTTATGTGCTTATGTCTATGGTAAGAGGAGCGAGGAGGACGTTCAAAGTTTAGGCTGATGCATCAGCTTTCTGGTCACCCACTGAGGTCTCAGTGAGCGCTTCCACACACCAGATGTGCTTGCTCCACCTAAGCACAGCGAGGTAGGTGAAGGAGGCAGTGAACGCCGGGACTTGGAATTTCTTCAGGGGCAGCTTTCACCTTACTCTGCGCCTCTAGGACACTAACCAGCTCACTTTGTCTCATCATACCCCATCATGCAGCCCAGCTTCCCCCATCAACCCGTGCAAGTGACATGAGCAGCACTCTGAGGACTAGTAGCTGCCCAAGATGCTGCAGTACCTGTCCCAGCCCCAGAAGGCGAGAAATGCCTGATGAGGTCACACTATAGACAGTTATTAGCAACGTGTGACCCTTTCTCTGTGGGGAGCTGGGGGTGTTGTGTGGGGCTGGGGGGGGGGTGCTAAGGTGTCTTGTGCCATTGGAGGGGGGGAGAGAAACAGCATCTTCTGCAGCCCTGGGAAATATACAACCTGCGCAGCTGGCCGGGGGCGGATCGCGCTACTCACAAAAGCGGGCAGTGGCGAGGTTGGTTTTGTTTGGGGGTCTGCTCAGCCTTGCGCGGTTAGGCTGCGGGGGGGGGGGGGGAGCGTCCTGTGCTGCAGAGGACCATGGATGTGGAGTCCTCAAGCCCCCACCCCCGAGTGGCAGATGCCCGGGAACGAGACCCCGCTGAGGGGGTAAAAACTTGCCCAGGCAAAGCCGCGGCTGGAAGGATACTGGGCACACGCAGAAACCCGCATCCGCCTGGCCGGGTCCGAGAAGTCCCCGCCCGCCCCTGCCACGCGGGGAGCAGCTCCCGGGGGGCAGGGGTGGAGGGAAGGACGCACGATCCGTACCTGGCTCCGCGGTGCAGCCGCCTTCTCCTCCAGGACAAAGGGAAGCCGGGGGGGGGGGGGGGGCACCAGCGCGCCCGCTCCCAGCCGAGGGCTCCTGCTACAGCCTCAGATCGCACCCGGCCAGCCACAGCGAAGGGGAGATGCGGGCACGGGCAGGGAGCTATATATACACCCAGCGCGCAGCCTCCTCCAGCGGCGCCCGCTGCCTCCCCGCTCCCCAGCCTCCGGCCGCCGGCCACGGCAGGAGCCACAGCGCCCTCTGCAGGCACACCGGCAGCCGTGCCCCTTGGAGGCTGGTTTTCCAAAGGAACCGGGTCCAGACTTGCTAAATCCTGCCGCTACAGCAAAGAAAGCCCACAGGGATGGATTTTAGGCTGCATGTAAAAATAATTAAATAAATAAATTAAATAAAATAAAAAGCAGCAGCTATTACTAACTCTGTCCCATTTTTTAATAGGGCTGTCGCCCGGCTCTGTGGACACTGCTCATGGGACGTTGGCAGGTCCCCAAACACTTCCAGAAGCATTGCCAGCCCCAGGCTGCTGAAAGCGGAGAGTCATCTGCCCCACAAAAATCAGGGGATTGACTTAAAATTCGTGAGATTTTGAAAAATTCATTTGCCTTCCATTCTTCGAGCCTTTTGGGTTCACATTTTCAAGCTTTTCTCTGCAAGCGTGAGGGCGAAAAAACTTTAAAATGAAGGCTGGGATTCTTATGTAACAACAACAGCATGATTCCAGATGCTGGGGATTTAAAAACAGGAAAACACCAGTACTGTGCGATTTGAGATACAGTTGCAGTTGACAACACTGTTTCAGGGACCATTAGAAGCTAGCACTCTGCAATGCTACCACATGATGGATGATGATGTGCTAAATCTTGGTGTCTGAAATGTGATAGCCCCTGGTCTGAAATAGCCTGAGTTTGCTGACCTTTAGGGCAGTGGTTTTCAAACTTTTTTTCTGGGGACCCAGCTGAAGAAAATTATTGATGCCTGCAACCCAACGGAGCTGGCGATGAAGGGTTTGGGGTGTAGGAGGGGCTCAGGACAAAGGGTTGTGGCAAAGGGTTGGGGTGTGGGGGTGAGAGCATGGGAGGGGGCTCTGGGCTGGGACAAGGGTGCAGGGGGGGTCAGGGCTCTGTGCTGGGGGTACAGGCTCTGGTGTGGGGCTGGGGATGAGGGGTTTGGGGTGCAGGAGGGGTTCGAGCCAGCGCTCAGGGCGGGGGCAGCACATGGAGCCCCATGGTCCCCCTGCCTAGAAGCTAGAGACGCAGCTGGTCGCTTCCAGGGTGCAGAGCAGTGTTGGAAAAAAGGTAGGCACTAGCCTGCCTTAGCTGGGCAGCACTGCTGATGGGACTTTTAATGTCCCAGCTGGTGGTGCTGACCAGAGCAAGGTGATACAGGGTCTTGAAAAACACTGCTTTAGGGTACTCTCTTTACTGAGGACAGAATGTATGCTTAAGGCCTTCCATTTCTGAGTTCCTATTCTAAATGTCAAGATTCTAATTTCTTGTATGCTCTCACTTAATGCTGAAAAGGAAAACAAATTGTGCCTATTGATGATGTATAAAGAACGCCAAAAAAGTGCCCCTCGAACCACCCTCCCACCCCCAAAAATTTGTTTTTTGTTTTTTAAAAATAAAAGAACAAAACAAAACACACATTAGAAATTCAGGTCCTGTCTGATCTAGAAAACTATGATAACTGGAGAACAAATTAAGTGACAATACTGGACGCATCAAAAATGCAGGCTGAGCAACTGACTAGGAAAGGGATTTTTAGTCCAACAATAATATATGCAAATTAACTGTTAGTACATACAAACAGGAAACACACACACACACACACACACGACTGAATAGCATATGCAGTTGTGGCAATTGTCAAGCTATCTGGAGTGGCTCAGAAGTACCAATCTCAGGACAGACTGTCAAGAAGCAGGGTAGAATCCCCAAACTGGTTATGAATTCTATACTTAGATTTCACCAACCAAGTATCATGTGTAAACACCTCAGGCACTATAACCGCCTTAACATGGAGTCACAAACAGTCGCCATGGGTACTCCATTCTATCTTGCCACCTAGGCAAGCCTGCCTTTGTGCCATTTGGTCCCTTACACCAAAAATCACAGCAATATTCATGTTACTCCCAGTCCCAAAGGACCAGTCACTTACAAAGACAATGCTTGTAGGCAATCCTATAATAAAACTAATAAAAGAAATAAATTATTTATGAGGTAAAGAGACAAACACACACAAATGAGTTCGTCTTAGGTTTCAAAAGGTGGTAGAATCTTCTATAATAACCAAGCTCTGTGGTCCTTGAAGACTAACCCAGGCCAAGCACTTGGGAGCTTTTGCTTATGCTTAGTAATTCTTGCCCCTCAGAGTTCAAGCAGCATATAGTGTTTCCTTGTTAAGGATTTTAATTCCCTTCCCCCAGAGTTCAAGCTGATAGGATGAGTCCCCATGCAGATCTCTTCATGGGTGTGCGGGGAGCAATCAAAGTCTTTTGTCCTCTGATGTTCCACAATGGTTTGTCTGGTGTCTATGGGTCTTCTTCTTCTGGGCAGGAAATAACACCCCCTGTAGTAAACTAGTATTTCATATTCATTAATACTTCTCTCCTGACTAGTGGTTTTACAATTTCAGAGCAAACACTTAAATATTACCTTATCACATGGAATACAGATATTATAAGTGAGATTAATGCATGCAGCAATTTAGAAGCATATCATAAAGTCTCGACACATTTTCATAATCCAAATATCTATTTTAACAATACTAACACAGGTGAGCCAGACTGGTTTCCAGCTATGCATTTGTCAGTGTTCAAGTTGAGGCCTATTGGCCATCGCATGCGCTGGCATCTGGTCTGCCAGCATCACAGCTATGTCATATAAAAAGTAGGAAATTAAAGTGATGACAGTCTACAACCTGCTGTACAAACCATAACTGGTGCCTGGACATAGGAGCTTGCAATAGAAGGGTCAGACCAGCCCTGGGATATCCAGAAGATGAAATTAAGAAAACAAAAATTATATTTAGTAAATATTTGTATGCTGATGGCATTTAAAGTATATGCCAATTTGTATCCCTGTTCCTTTTTCTATGAAGTTACCGGTTACATGTGCTAGTGGCCTTTTGAGAACAAATGGCCAACTTGCATGTGTGCTATTTTTTGTTGGCCATGGCTGATCCTTGATTGGCTACTCTCCAATCCTCTTCTCTCTTGAGGTTACCTTCAAAATATGCAGAGAGTACCCTGCACCTCTAAATCCCTTTTTAAAAATAGTTTCTTCAAGTAATAATCTTTGCATTTTTACTTTTGAGCTATTGCCCAGTGTCTGGTTTAGTTTTACATGAACTAAAAGCTCTGTGTGGCAATTCGTCTTATCTATATTTTTAAAGCTCTGTGTAAGTTTATACCACTATATTAAAGATATACTCCTAAAAAAAAAAAACCCCAGCATCCATTGTTTCAATCAGCTCCTAAGACCTGCTATGTAAAATGAACCAGGTTTGAGGTTATGATCTGTCCATAATGTAACATATTTGGTACCATTTAGCACAGAGTGTCCATATGGAGCCTGACCCAACGCCCATTAACTCAAGACTGACTTCAGGGGGCACTGAATCAAGCTCATTATGACTCTGCTCTGTTCTTGTACTGTAGAGTAGTTCATCTCATCTTTTTGCCTATATTTATATATATTATATACACACACACAATAAGTATTAGTAGGATACCATTTCTGCTCAAGGACTACTACCCAACCCATACTGCTTGTATTAGTGTATGGTACAGAGGGCTGTAAGTACCGTACTTGTAGCATGACAAGCTAACATAGTGTAGCAATTCCCTTAGTAAGAAGTGTGCTCTGACTCATTAGTGCACGTGAAATTCATCTGTAGTGGCTTGGGTGTTGAGAGCTTTCAAGGACATTGCCCTTTCAGTAAAGCTAGTTTTCACTTCAAAAAAGGACTTAAAGAATCCCATACAAGGAGGAGTTTGTTTTGATCAGGTGCAATCTCACCACTGATGTGTTTCCCCCAAGTTTCACAGTGCACTGTGTACAGGAACAGGAACTCAAGCCCAGGCCTGAATAGTCTGCAGGGAATGCTACAAAGACATAGTCCATCCAGTTGGGATTGTACACAATAATAATGACAATACCAAGATTACAAGCATCCTTTTAAGACATCCGTCAATTTAGTCATTAATCTCAAGAAAGTGGCAGGCCCGCTAGTCATCCCCAAGGCATCACTGAATTCTCAATGAGGCACTCTGACAGAGAAAGCAATCTTTCAGTCTTCTTCGTATAATGGTACTTGCCAAAATTTACTAGCCATATTCACAGTGTGGAAAATAATTGGACACCCCCCAAATTGGTCCAAAATATCACCAGGTCAATCAAAACCTGATTTTCTGAAAGAGAGATCTGTACCTGGCCTTGAGAAGGCCTTTTTCTTTAAACACAACATTTTAGCAGCCAATTAGCACCTAAATCATTAACACCCTTGATCACCTAGCTGTTTGCATTCCAGAGATCAATTAGTGCTATCATGACACCTAATCAAATACTATGTAAACACAGAACTTAGGCGTTTCTCTTGGCATTGGTTTCTGTGTGCAATGGGGAAATCTCTGCAAAAGACAATTTATGTTTCTGGGAACATTTGGGAAAGACTGAAAAAACTGCAAGTTGCATTTAAGTTTATAGCAAGGAATGTCACAGTATGTGACTCAAGACAAGCAAAAAAGAGGAGACATTGCTTCCTCTACAGACAATGAGCAGGTCCAGCACAGAATAAAGGGGAAAAAAAAAACAAAAAAACTTTAAAACCTGAAGAAATGAATCCTGGGACAAACGAATGCTTGAATTAAGGTACAGCAGTTTCAAGTATAAGGTCAAAGCTAAAACCACTTCACAAAAAGAAAAGGAGTACTTGTGGCACCTTAGAGACTAACCAATTTATTTGAGCATGAGCTTTCGTGAGCTTAAGTGAGCTTAAGCTGTAGCTCACGAAAGCTCATGCTCAAATAAATTGGTTAGTCTCTAAGGTGCCACAAGTACTCCTTTTCTTTTTGCGAATACAGACTAACACGGCTGTTACTCTAAAACCACTTCAGTTAATCCAATTAGATGAGC